TGTCTTTTCTCTATCCACTTCTCGGATGGGAATCTGGTGGTAGCCGCTTTCCAGGTCGAGCGTAGTGAAGAAAGTGCACTTACCGAGCCTATCAAGGGTCTCTTAATATTAGGCAGTTGGGAGGTGTCCACTCTAGTGACAGAGTTTAGCCCACGGAAATCTGTGCAGAACCGATATTTAGGAGATCCAGGCTCCTCAACCTTCTTCTTCACAATAACTATAGGTGCAGACCAGAGTCTCGAAGAAGTTTGAATAACTCTCTTTTCCAAAAGTTCCTTATTTTGCTGTTTTACAATCGGCCTCAAGGTATGAGGAGTCCGGTAAGGACGAACAGCTATTGGATTAGCATCCCCCGTGACGATGGCATGTTCAACAACTCTGGTACAATTGAAATTCCCTAAGAAAATTTCCGGTACAATTGAAAGTCCCTTTTCTTTCAGGACTGAGAACATACCGCTCGATTAGCTGCTTGATTGAATTTATATCTTCTATCTGTTAGTGGTTTAGTCTGTTCTTCATGAGGCTCTCGAAATCATTATCACCGGCAGCAAGTGAAAAAATTCTACTGCTCGGTCCCAGGACCGAATGGGTGGGAGCAGCTACTCCAATCACGGTCCCCTTGTCGATGCAGACTTCTTTGCCACACAGGTTGACCGCTTTGACCCACACTCTACCCTCAGAGGATGTTATCTTTATTAGAATAAATCCCCACGAGCAGGTAACACATTTACTGATACATTTCACATGCAAACTAAACTACCTTGTGTAGTTCAGTAATGAGGGGTCATTATCATTATCGATTTCCTATCAACCTTATGAATCGATTGACATAGAGAAATTATATAGTTGTTTCTTTTCAGTGGGGATATATTGCTAGGACGTCAAAGAATACGATACCTTCTGGAGGTTGACGTCTGGTTGGGAGTTGGACTATTTATTGCCTGTGTTGGTATTTTATCATATTTATTTCTCGAGCTATTAGGTATCACGGGCGGATCTACGGGGGGGGGGGCTTTCAGGCTGAAGCCCTCCCCCCAAAATGGTAAAATATAGCCATGTTTTATCGAAAAAAATATAAAAAAGTATCTCTTAAAGTATTATTGTTTGTGTAACTACATTTAAAGGGGCTTTAGGAATCACTTAAACACCATTTCATACAGGTAGTTAGTTTCTTTCATCTTTTCCAAAGTAATTATCGTTATTTTTATGAAAAAAACCGCTTTCGGGGTGAAGCCCCTCCCCAAAATTAAATCCTGGATCCGCTAGTGTTAGGTATCATTATGTAGAAATATATCTAGCTAGCATACGCATGTTATTCTTATTTTAGTTATTTATATGCACATTGTTATTTTATAGATTGTTTTGTTAGTGAGTTTATATTTATTGTGAATGTTATTATATTTATTGTAGTTCGTATTTTATTAGATTATATTTATTAGCTTTGTATGTAATTTAGCTTATAGATATAGTTCCACGCATGTTGAACGACATAATATACTCCCAGAAACTCAATTGTAATATTCATTATTTTTCCTGGCACCAAAGAAGAAGAAAAGAAGATTGGTTTAGGTCAGGAATTGGATGCAAAAGAAAGAAGCAAGGGATACAATATTTAAATAAATATATAATGAAGATCCCTGAGAATATGAAGCAATGATGATAGTGGTCCGCACTCCATCTATTCCCAAGGTACGTCAACACTAGGCATATCTAATTCAGGAAGGCGTATTCTTTTGACAATAGGTGGGTAATCTGTGCGTAATTCACGCCGCAGTAAGGTTAAGGCAGTGCTAATGGAAGCCGCAACGAATTTTTAATTTACTGTTCGTAAAATTCGTCACTACATAAACACTCCCATATACATATATTCAACTAAATTCTATTTATTTTCAAATTTTAGTAACCTAAATAATTAAATATTAATTAATTCTAGCGCTATACTAATAAATATCGCACAATAATATTTGGAGGTCACAGTTCCCCACTCGTCGTCTAGACTGACGTGAAATAAGACCGTTCGCCATCACCTTAGCAAAAGCATTCGTTCGCGCACGTTCTCCTAGTGTGAGCCTTTAGAAGACTATTACAACTTTCTATGAAACTATGGATTACTTGAGAAAAAAAAATTAGCTCCTCCCTAATCCTTTCAGTTATTACACTGTCTCTTCTGGTTTTTCCTTCGGCCCTACGTAAGTACTTCATTTCAGTTCCTGTGATTGTGATTATTTGCTTGCCCAGCATGGCCCAGTTCTCGATCCCGTAGGTAAGAGTAGGGAGGTATATTGATTTGTGATCCACATCTCGATCGCCAACATTGCTATTGCAAATGCTATAATACATTTGGTTGGCTTTAGCAATTCTAGTTTCTATTTTGCCCTGTTTATTCATGTTGGTCCCTAAGTAATTATAGTTCTTAAACATTTTAAGAACCTCACCATACCTTGTCTCGGGTAAGGACCAGCACCTTACTCATAGAGGTATTGATGAGCATCCCTTTTCACTGCTATTCCAATCAGGGGTGTCCAAAAGAGGGTTCATGGCGCAAGTTACGCCATTAAAATTTTTGAAAGGTCAAATTTTGACGGGGTTTTGAGTATTTAAGGGGGACACATTTCGACGGGGCTGAATTAAAATTTCGTGGAAAGAAGAGGATTTATGTGCCATTGACTTTGGGGATAAAGGCACCCCTGATTACAGTCAAGCTTGCTGCAGTTTCTCTTTCGTATCACAAATGAGGACGATATTATCTGCATACAAGAGGGACTGGTTACACAGAGCGAGTTGCTGACCTGACAGTGGACAGTTACTGCAACTGTGTACTCTCGTGACAGTAGCTTGACTCGCCTCGCTTGGTCACACAAGCTACAGGCCTGAAAATAAACAGCTACTGCACCTGTGCACTAGCATCAGTCCTTCACAAATGTTGTGCTATGTTGTCGTAAAATACACGTCTTATCACAGTCCATACTGTAATAAAAGCTGTTTAAAAAATAACTTGTGGGAAAATACTTAGAGCTGAAAGTGCTGGAAAAACAGAACAGTTTAGGTCAGGAATCGGATCCAAAGGAACTGAGCAACATCCGTTTATCCACAATATATAATATAACAATTTGTATAATATAGTATATAGTATAACTCCACAAAATTTAAATTTTGGTCCACATTCCGTCTATCCACCATATTTTGTTTTTACAACCACTAAAAAAACTAAACATAAAACATACAAACAGAAAACGCATTCATCAAAAAGAAAAAGAAAAGAATATCGCGTCGCACAGTGGGACCACAAACGGGTTTTCGTGGACAAGGGCCTAGAACTCGTAAATGATGTTGGATTAATTTGATATTTAGTATACTTATGTTTTCAAGTCCAAGGAACACGAATATGACATCAGAATTTGAAAAGTTTGGTGTAAAACAAAAAAAAAACTGTTTGTTTAAACCTGAAAATTTTTAAATTTGACTATAAATTAACTTCGAAAATAATAGAGACCTCATAAAACGCACAATTTTAGATACCCATGTTTAAGTACTGTCTATAGTAATACATACAACCGTTATTTTTATTTATTTTTTTACTTTCACTTACCTATGTATGTAATATATAGTAAGTGTAAGTATTGCGGTCGTGAAAATGTTTTAATCTGAGTTTTTAACGGAAATACACGTTTTGAGGTCCCCTGAGTCCAAATAACCAAGTCCCGAAAAATGGTCTGTGTGTATGTGAACACTAGCTCGAAACCGAAAAGTCTTACGAAACTGATATTACATAATAGCTGTTACATATATTAGCCTTATATTGATAAAGATATCTAGCGCAAGGTCAAGAGTTCTAAAGGTTGTGCTTTGACCCGGAAAAATCTTCCAAAATTGTTATCCGGGATCCTTGGGACCCCTAAACAATAACTGGGAAAGGAATCACATGGATTATACTGGTCTATTCGGAAATCATTTTTTCTGGTTGTTGTAGATGGTAAATCTAAGTGGGCTGAGACAAAAATCAGCAAGGATGCACCATCTAGTTAGTTCTTCTACCATCTTAAATTTGAAATCTATTTATTTCATGGATATCCACAAGTAATTATCTCTGGTAACACATCAATCTTCCAGATTGAGGAATTCCGCACTTATTGTGCTATTAATGGAGTATTTCGAAAGTTAATTGCACCAGGACATCCTGCAAATGTAACGTTCAAACCCTAAAACACCGACTAAGGGCTGATGCAAATGTCACTGACCCTATTGAGAGAAAGTTTTAAAACATTTTATTTCGATATAGGGCCTCACACTTCTGGCTGGAAAATCTCCAGCAGAGATGTATCGACAGCTTCTTCTTTTTCTGGAACTACAACTTAGTGGTGAGTCAAGGCATCCCGCAACATCAAGGCCAACTTCCAGTCTTCTCAGTTTGTTGCCACTGGCTTTCAGTTTCTTACTCCTAAGAAGGACCGTGCATCCTCTGTCACTCCATCGGCCCACCACAGTCTCGGCCTTCCATCTCTCCTCTTGCCGTATATCCCCTCTTTTGAAAGTTTCTTTGAGACCTCATCATTTTTCATTCACACAATATCGTCTGCCCAACGAAGTCTTCCAATCCTTATGAATCTGATGAATCCTTATGACATTTGTATTATTATACATTCTTTTTTGTATGTATCTACACCACCAGTCCAAAATAAGATTAGATGCTATTTTCCCATATAAACTCCAGCATTCACAAGTGTTTTCAAATCCATGCCGTTCTCTTCAAGTGAAGGAGAGGGTTCAAGTTAGGTTCGAGCTAAATATCAACAATAAACAAGTATGAGAATTAGGGGAAGTTGAAAAGAAATTCGGCACCAGGCACTACAAAATTTTGTTGGACTCAGGCAGGTCAGTAAAGTAGCATATAAACCAACTGAGACTAACACTCATAGTCAATTTATATCATATAATAATGAATGGATCTCATTAGGAAATTAAAGTCTACAATCTTAATTATTTAATTACTATTTTTTCAGAATTGAGTGATTACTGGTCTTGGAATATGTTAAATTATGCTGTACACTTTGAAAGGTACAAGGTAGTGAATGATACTATTGAACGTATAGATGTAAACAAAGTTTCCTTGGAAGAATTTGTTGAAAAGTATGAAAAACCTTATAAACCTGTTGTTATTACTGGAATTCAAAACAATTGGGGTGCACTGCAGAAATGGACTTTACATGTAAGGATATAGTTTTCATATATTAGAAATGTTTTCTGTTTTTTTACTTTGTCTTTATTTTTATTTCATTATTATCTAGCTAATTATTAATAATCCTTTAGCGAATCATAATACAAAATTTGATAATGAAAAATAAAAAACATTTTATGGCATGGAAATCAATCTGTCTGCTGGAAATTTTATACAATATGTTACAGGTACAGTAGATGATAATTAACTAATAATTGTTGTCGTTTCACTGTAGTTATTAAAAACTTGATATATAAAGACATAATAATGATGATCTAATAAATTAATTAATAATTCTGCTATATATATATATATATATATATATATATATATATATATATATATATATATATATATATAAAATTAATTTTAAAAAAATACTATTACAACATGAAATATGAATATAGAATAATAAAAATAAGGGATAGCGATTGATTTATTTTTTCAAAAACTGGATTAAAGAAAGGTGATATAAAATTTACTAGAAGAACATGAACAAAAATACCTATGAGTAAAAATAAATGCTTATGTTGGATGGATCAAATGATTATAATGAATGACCACACATGACGAGCAAAATTTACTAGCTTGTGACAATTCATTTACAGAGGGGGCATTGAGGAGAGAATCAAATTTTTAATAGAGCTTGTTTCCTTTCCAAAATTTTTGAAAAAATCCTACTGAAAAGAATCCTACCCATAATAGAATTCCAAAACCTTCCAACCCACCAATTCGGATTTCGCTTCCAACATTCCACTGTCCAACAAGGACTCCGACTTGTTGACCACATATCCTCAGCCCTAGAAAGCAAAGAGTATTGTTCGGGGGCATTCCTGGACATTGCGCAAGCTTTCGGGTATGGCACGCCGGACTGCTCTTCAAGCTCAAATCCCATCTACCACATTCCTTATATCTTATCCTCCGATTCTACCTCTCTAACCGCTCCTTTCAAGTTCGCTATGGTACAGAATCCTCCAACTGTCATTCAATCAAGGCGGGAGTTCCTCAAGGCAGCGTCTTGGGTTCCGTCCTCTACATTCTGTTTACCGCTGATATTCCTATTCATCCTGAAACACTCCTGGCAACATTCGCTGATGACACAGCCATCTTATCTTCCAATCCAGATCCTCAAATAGCATCCTTAAACCTACAAAGTCACCTCTCTCTTATTGAACACTGGTGTAATAAGTGGCGAATCCAAGTAAATGAATCCAAATCCAAACATATTACTTTTACCCTTCGACGCAATTCCTGTCCACCAGTCTACTTCAACTCCATACCACTTCCTCTGTCCGACACAGTCCGGTATCTTGGCTTTATTCTAGACAAAAGACTAACATGGAACCCACACACCAGACTTAAAAGACAACAACTTAACGGACGATACGAACAACTATATAGACTATTGAATAGAAAATCTCAACTTTCAGTCGATAACAAACTATTAATCTACAAGACAATCCTGAAACGTATTTGGACCTACGGAATAGAACTGTGGGGGACAGCAAAACTTTCTAACATCAAACGCATTCAATCCTTCCAGTCTAAAATCCTCTGAACAATAGTCGATGCTCCCTTCTATGTATCCAACAAAACCCTCCATAATGACCTTCATATCCCATTTGTTATTGATCTAATCCCAGAAAATTTTTCCAAATTTCACCAGAAACTCACTCATCATCCAAATCCTGTAGCACAATCCCTATCTAGCTCCAGTCATCCCTACAATCCTCCCCGGAGGTTAAAACGGCAGTGGCCCCGCGACCTTTTGTAAATATGTATATATTGGAGTACTGGCAATGGCCAGATTCTCCACTCAAGACATGAGCGTCTGTTGCTATAGTGCCCTCCATCATTTTCCATAGTATAGTGCCCTGCGATTAGAACGGTTTTATGTGGTGCAGGGCTTTACTGATTTTTTAATAACTTTCAACGTGCTTGGTGGACTCTCATTCCACATGAACTGCCAGCTGTCTGATATTTCATTTTTGAGAGTAAGACTCATTTCCAGAGGTGACTGGATAGCAGTACCCCGGCCTGGAAGTGCGAGGGCTTGTTTTGCTGCCACATCTGCAAGCTCATTTCCGACTATTCCCATGTGACTAGGAATCCATATAAAGTAAACAGATTTTCCCAAATTTTCTAGAATATGGCGATATTTGTAAATTTTTAGGATAACGGAATGTTTCGAGTACATGTCGTTTAAACCTTTTAGTGAACTAAAGATTCGGATATTAAAACTATTGTGTTTGGAGTGATCACCATACAGAAGTGGAGGGCTGAGGCTATTACATGAAGTTTCGCGGTGTATATGTTGCATAATTTATGAAGTTTTATCTTGTGCGTTGAATTATTAGTTACAAAGAAAGAAGCTGTGGCATCATCGGATTTCGAACTGTTATTATAAATTAAGAATGGTTCTGGCATTCTTTGTAGGAGATGGGAGACTTTGGATTTATTTTGGGGGGTTTGTGGATCCAAGGTGCGTTTTGAATTTTTGTTTTGTGTACAGGTATGTTCTTATAGAACTGAGCTGCAGAATAGATTCTTTCTGACAGTGGAAGTGTAGAATTTGGTTTGTTTCTAAAAGCATTGGAAAATTTTAATTTGAAGATGTATTTATGGGTAGGATGTTTATTTTGAGGCAGTCATATTGAAATATAGTTAGTAGCCAGTTTTTTCCTTCTAAATAAAAGATCAAGTATACCGGCCTTAGAACAGAGACTGAGAATGGGGCTTGTTCGAAAGGCGCCAGTCGCGATTCTAATGCCTGTATGATGGACTTTATCAAGTTTATTCAGGGTCTGATAGCTATCAGAACCATACACAAAGAACCCATAATCTAATTTGGAGCATATTAAAGTGCAATATAGTTTTAGCAGCATAAGTCTGTCCGAGCCCCAGGTAGTATTGCATATTTATCTTAATGATGCTAATATTTTTTGGTGGCTATTTTTAGTGTAGAGATGTGTGATTTCCATGTCAGTTTTCGGTCAAAAGTCATATCCAAGAATCTAAGCTGGTTCGAGTATGGGATTGAAGAATTACCTAGGTAGATTTCGGGTTAGGGGTATTTCTTTTCCTACTGAAATGTAAGCGTTTAGTTTTTTTGGGAGAAAATCGCAGATCAGTGGAGAGAGACCAGTTGTTAATTCTATTAACAGCGTCCTGTAATTTGGATTTTATGGTGGTGATATTCTCAGATCGACAAAATATAGCTAAATCATCCGCAAACAATAGTGATTTAACTCCTCTTGGTGAGTTGAGCCCCAGGTCATTTATCACCAGTGAGAACAGAGTTGGGCTTAGAACAACCCTGGGGGACACCATTGAGCTGTTCTTAGTAATTGTATAATTTGTTTCCTATTTGTACCCTTAAGTGATGTTGTATGAGAAATTGTTTAATATAGCAATACATTTGTCTACTTATTCCAACAGATGATAGTTTATTGAGTATTATGGAGTGGTTTATGTTATCAAAAGCCTTCTTCATATCGAAAAATATTACTATTGTTTGTTGTTTGTTGATAAATGTATATTGTGTTTCATCTTCCAATGTAACTAAATGATCTAAGGTGCATCAGCCCTTGCAGAATCCCGACTGAAAGTGTTGAATCAAATTGATATTTTCTATTATCCACATTAGTCTTCTGTTAATCATCCATTCAATTATTTTGCTTAAGCAACTAGTGAGAAATATAGGGCGATAGTTGGTCAGCGCACGTTTATCATTTCCGTTTTTCAAAATTGGAACTACCACCGAATCACGCTAGTTATTTGGGAAATGTCAAGTTGACCAGATATGATTGTAATACCCAAGCAATCATTCCCATGTGTTACCTGGAAGGTTTTTTCTTTTGACGGCACTACCCCAGAATCCTGGCCTCCTCCATAATTCTCCGCCATTCATCCCTGTCCAAAGCCGCTCTTCTCCACCTTTGAACTCCAAGTATCCTCAGGTCCTCCTCCACGTCCTCCAGCCACCGCAATCTGGGACACCTCTTCTTCGTCCTCCACCAGGGTATCTGTCCAGAAGCTTCTTCGGGATACACCGTTCCTCCATCCTCTGCAAATCACCCAGCCACCTAATTCTACTTGTCTTGATGCAGGTGACAATATCTGGGGCCTTGTATAGATCACGGCCTGATTGTTCCTCTGCCTCCACCGATCTCCCTCTCTCAAGGGGCCAAAAATCCTTCTCAGGACTTTCCTCTCCCACACGTTCAGTACTTGCTCTGACTTCCTGGTGAAGACCCAGGTCTTACTTCCATATGTCACTACTGGTCTAATAATGCTAACATATATAGCCTTCTTTAACTGCCAGAGTAACACCTTTGACCTAATTACTTTTCCAAGCGCCCAGCAACATCTATTTCTGGCCATAATGCTTGACTTTATTTCTGCCTGTATGTCATTATTTTCGTTTACATTGGCCCCAAGATACTTAAACTCCTGTACCTACTCAAAAAAGTGTTCTCCATTTCTAAGAGCATTCCTTGCCCCACAATCATCCTGGGAGGTCTTCATATATTTAGTTTTGGTTTCATTAATGTTGAGTTCTGCTATTTTTGAGGCCTGATCACATTCCGCGAAAGCTCCTGTTAAGGAGGCACGTGTACGACCAGTAATGACAACGTCATCTGCAAAGGCAAGATGCTGGGTCAGTCGATTATAAATGGTCACCCCAGGATTTGTTCTAATGGCCCTTATCACTTCCAAAATAATGTTGAATAGGATGGGAGATAGGGGATCTCCTTGTTTTAATCCTTTGTTGATATGGAAGCTACTGGACCTTGCACTTTGTATTTTTACTCTTTAAGAAAGGTTTTTTATCATGTCATAATGTGCCTGGTCAGGGTCAGGAATAGAGCCTTTAACGGTACTTAAATCATTTTTGAATTCCCTCATTGGAAATGGAAGGTTGTTACATAGAGATTCATCTTTCGCTGTTCTGTTGAAATCTATTTCTTCATGATTAAGACTATTTCTTT